AGACGGTTTGATATCACAACTGCATAAGAATCCATTAAAAACAAAAACATATAAAACAATTATATTTGTTATGCGTTTTTCCAACGTTCACCGGAAAGCCCCCACATAAAAACCACGAACAAAAATTCATAATAAGATAAAATATAAATAAACATAAATATTTGATCGGATCAAATCAAATCAAGTCTAATTGAATGTCAGAATAAATAAACAATTCATCACTAAAACCAGGCCACACGCCCACACCAGATGGTTATTAGGTATGTATGATGCACAGTCTCATTTGTTTTTTCGACCACAAAAACATGTTGTGTTGTAATTTGTTAAAGTCACCGTCTGGTTCCACTCTGGTATATCAGATTCCAAAATTACGAGTCGAGCAACCTTTGAAGAGAATAAAGGAAAGGTAAATTAAAGGCCCTTTTCGTTGCTTGACACATGGGACGTCAACGCAGATTCCATGAAAAAGAAGGATTAAACTAAGAAACCCATAAAAAGACGGCCCACTTTTCTTGTCTGTGTTCACAAGACGAATGCCATTGTCACTTGGTGGGTTGCGTCTTAAAAGTTCAGGTCTCTGACTCAGACATCAGACATCCCACTTTACAAGTAGCAAATGGGTCCATTTCACGTGTAGTAAATACAAACGTGTAAGGTCTGGGTTCTAGCAGCATATCCCATACCATAAATAATTATGCCGCACAAACGCAAAGGATGGCCAAAATACACAATCTTTATTACTACGAACTTGTAAGCAGAAAAAGTATAACGGATCAACATAAAATAAGAAATGTTTAAGAAATGAGTGTTGGATTAAAATTTATATTATGGGTATATGTATAATATAAAATGTTACATATGTAAGTGACCTATTATGTTACATATTATAGTTATTAAAGTGTAAATATTATAAGTTGTATCATCGAAAGAATTAGAATAATCCATTGCTTTGGATTTTTGGGTTTAAACTTTGAAATTGTTTTTTACTTTTTTTTATTTTGAGATGAATTTAGTTGATGATTATATATACTGCAAGTTTAGTGGAAGTAAACCAAGCAATACCATTTATTATTAAAAGAACAAATTTAGTTTTGATTAATAAATACCTAAGAATAATTTTGAAAGTAAGGAAATGCAAAAAAGGTTCATTTTGCTTCAAAAATAAATGAGGAGTTTAATGTATACTCAGGTTTGTACGCATTCAGTCGTAGTATATGACTTTAGGTTATTAAACAGATATTTAAGCAATTTGGATATATATCATTGGATAGCAGCCAAATGATTCATATCATTGGATAGCAGCCAAATGATTCATATAATACATATAAATAAAGTATTAAATGTTTAGATATCATAAAGTATGACACAAAATTAGTTGACCAATTATGTTACATATGTCATAGGTATTAAACTGTCATGAAATTAAAATATAAATAACATAAGTTGTATTTATAATTTGATGAGGGACATATTTATAAATACTTATAAGACTGGCCTAACATTCAATCTATATAAAAAAGTAATGGTCCCTAAGAAATAGGTTAACTTGTATTACTCTTATGTTGTTAGAGAGATTTTACGGTAAGAGAAAACTTATTTCTTGGGATATATATATATATCAATTAATTCATGTACGCTTCCACATTTAATGTATTATTCTTAATGATTTGACATTATAGATCTTGACTTCTTGATTTCATATTTACTATAATGTGGTTCTAACAATGAGATTTAACGTGGATCAGTCGTGCCTAGTTCTACGGATGAAAAAAAATAATTCATTATAAATACAGAGATCATGAATGATACAAATGTATTAAAATTTGGTATCATACCAAACTCATAGTATATCAAATTAGTCTCTCAATATTTCTATAAAACTCATCTCTACAACATAATCATAGACCCAAAAAAAGATTATATCTCTACAAAATAATTCTCTCTTTTATTTAAAGGCTAAAGATATTCTCTAAAATAAATTCAATTATCAAGTAACTTTCACCCACTATAATTACAATAAAATATAACTTAATTACTAATTATAATTTTGGTCAAAATATAACATATGCTCTCTGTATTATGTTGAACTATGAGTGTTTATGCACAATATTTAAAGGATTTAACCAATATAAGCCGACCGTTAGATAATGTGCATAATTATATAGATTACTAGCATGTTCCTTGAAAAGTTCTCTGTAGCACCTAGAGCTGTAGGAATTTGAATAGAGAATTATGGGATTAAGAAAAGAGATTCAGAAACAGTGCACCGATAATGAATTCTCTTGCTACTAATACTTTTAAGTTTCATAAAGAAATATATTGTTACGACAATAGGCAAATACAAATATTACAACTTGAAGAAGAAAGCGAGCCAACTTATGTCATATGCAGTGATAAATTGAGGGTAGAGCAGTTGACGACGATAATTCTCTATGTAAATTTTAAGTTTTTATTTATTTTAGATATTTATTTAAAATTCTGTATTAATAATTTATTTTATCTCTAACAAATTATAAATTTGTCCTTTCTGAAATAATATAAGCTCGTTTCCTCTAATATAAAATTATATATTCATCTCTAACTTGACATACGAATAGATTGGAGTCCTAATATATGTTGCTATTTTTTAGCCAACGTAGTGTGCACCACTTAATTATGATAAAGATATTGAGTTGTTTGATTATGTTTTAACCCCTTTTCATATATATAATATTTTTATTATTTAATGATTATTCCCTGTTGTTTGATGATTTTAGGTGAACGGTTGGTTAATACAATAAGTGTACTTGAATTTTTTTGAATTAATTACTTGTATCTGATATATTAATCTACTAATCTAGATTAAGTATTGCAGAGTCAAGGACGACCCTTTCAACCCTCCATTCGCAAACGCCAATTTATTTTTATTTAATACAATAAATATTCTTAGATAAAATCATGTAAATCTATAAAATATCAAATATATGCCCATACTTTCTTAACTTTACCATAATTTCATTTAATACTAACTACTGGTTAATATTTAACTCCCCATTAAACAGAATTATTGATTTTAATAATTGTGCATGTGTATACATTGTTAGAATAATACATTTGAGAAATTTAATAATGACAAGTGCATATATATTATCCATAAATTGAGAGATCAATGGTGTATAATATATTAGGACGGTACATAAATATCTTTAAAAAATCGAAATAAAATGACAAGTGCATATATATTTGTTTTAATTGAGGTGAGACCGACTTAATCTCGCTTTCACACGTAAAAAATAATCATTCAAAACTATTAATTATTTTAAAAAATTATGTTAATATTTAGAGTAGATACATTTCATTTCTATGACCATTGATCTTCTAAAATGTTTATACTTTGGTCACTTAAATTGAAAATCTCTTATTTTACTCACCATTTGTTTTCATCACCGTCGTTGTCATTATTGTTTGTTAAGAAATATTTATGCGACATGTTAAAGTCTTCTTCCAAACAAAATCTAATTTTCTAAATATGCAACTGCTGCAAAGGTTGACTTTTGATGAACGGACAAACAACTGTTAATTACAATAATAAGAAGGCTTTTTCTTGCCAAAATATTCACATAGTTCGATTTCAAGTTGGTTTAAAGATTGACAAATCAAAAAGTTTTAATTTTTAGTTTAGATCGAGATTTGGGGAGATTGAAGATTTTTTTATGAGTTTGAACTAAAAGAAAGGAAGAGTAGAATATGAGAAGTAATTTAGTGATATTTTTTTATGGAAGAAACCACCTAACAATGGTAGAAATCAAAAGGGGGTGATGGTCCAATAGAAACTTAGTCATATTAAAATTTATTTTATGTTAATATTTAGAGTAAATTACATTTCTATGATCATCGAGCTTTTAAAATGTTTATACTTTCATCACTAAAATTGAATAACTTTTTATTTTAGACACCATTATTAGTTCATTTTTATTATGATCATTATCATTAATCGCCATTAAAAAGTACTGATATGACATGCTAAAATCGTCTTCCAAAAAATTCTTAATTTTCTAAATTGACAGACACTACAAAGGCTAGTTTTTCAATGAACAGAACAATATCGATGATCAATTTCAATAATGGGAAGGTTTTATTTAGTCAAAAGATTCATATAGTTCGATTTTAAGTTGATCCAAAGCTTGACATAGCATATAAAAAAATTAACTTTTAATTTCAATTGAGATTTGAGAAGATTAGAAGATTTTTCGATGAGTTTGAAGTGAAAGAAAAAAATAAAAAATAAAAGAAAAGTAGTTTAGTAATTTTTTCAATCGAAGAACATTGAACGCTGGTAAAAATTGAGAGTAAATGGTCCAATAGAAGTTAAAAAAATACAACTTTCTAACTTGTCACCTTTAACCATCATATCAACGTGAAACCAAATTATTTTAATATTTTAAACAAACAAGCATTATCATTGTTAGAATTAATTGTTGACTGTTTGTTTATCAAAAAATAATCTTTACGGTGGTTGCTAATTTGAAAATTAGAGTTTTTTTAAACAGACTTTAATGTAGCATATCAAAATTTCTTAACAATATTTCTTAAGGACAATTAATGGAAGTGATTGTAATGAAAATGAATTAAAAATTTAATGACTATAATATAGCTTTAAAAGTTGGTAACTAAATTAAACGATCCTGAAAATATATTGACTAACATTGCAATTTACCCTAATTTTATAATGTGAGTACCAAAAGTTGAACTTAGAAATTTCGAACAAAGAGAAAAAAGGAATATAAAAAAACTGAAACTTTTGCCGTAAGAATTGGAATTTATGACGTAGCAAATTGGGGCCCATCTCCCTCGTTACGGAAGAGCATAAGCCAAACTCTATAAATAAGGTTCCAAGTATTCCAAACCTAGGCTTGAAGACGCCGCCACTGAGAGCCTCTTCCTCCTCCTCCACAGCCGCCGCCGCCGCCGCCATCTAAAACTACAAAAAAATATTTTATCCTCACAGAAACCTGAAAATCATGGTCGGAACTAACCCCACCATCAAATTCCTATGCAGTTACGGCGGAAAAATCATCCCTCGTTACCCTGATGGAAAACTCCGTTACAACGGCGGTGAAACCCGAGTCCTCGCCGTTGACCCCTCCATTTCCTTCGATGTTAGTAAATTCTTCTATTTTGTTATCTACCATGTTTCTATAATAGTTTTAAGCTAAATCGGCGTTGTTTTAAGCATCAAGAATGAAGTATATATATATTAATACAGAGTTGTCGTTGAAGATGGGAGATGTGGAACACCGGTGAATCTACGTTTCCAGTTACCGACAGAGGATTTAGACGCGCTGGTTTCGATCACTTTCCGATGAGGATCTCGCGAATCTCATCGAGGAATACGATCGTGTAGCGTCGCCGCCGTCTTCTTTAAAGATCAGAGCTTTGCTTTCGCAGCCGAAATCTGCCAAAAAGGCGATATCGTCTCCGTCTTCGTCATCGGCTTCGTCGTCAAAGTCGTCGTCTTCATCCACTCCCAGATACTCCTGCTTACGTCAGATCTCGGGGACTCCCGTAGCTTTCCCTCTTTGCTCTCAGAAATATGCGGGAAAAATGATTCCTTACTATGGTTACCATGGCAACCCTAGTCATATTTACCTTCTTCACAGCGGGAATCACTGGCAATAACAGAAGAACAAGTAATGATCAATACCACCCAGAAGAACAAAGAAAGAACCTAAGCTATAAACGATTCTGTATTTGAAAATATATCCGTTAAGAAGAACTGCTTTTGATTAATGATAGCCTTAATGAATTCCCAGCTCCTATATTCGTTTTCGATCATCTCCCAAAAAACCCATTTTTTTCATTCAACTTAAAATTCTCACATCTTTACCCCAATAAAATTCTCCGTTCAGTGATCTCCATTTGCGTTTAATCATTAAAACGAGTTCCATAATTTTCGTACCACGTTCTTTCTCCCTATCCTCCCTAGTTCCCCGCTAAGTTCAACACGTGTGGCCCACGCGTGTAACGTTTTATCCTCGTCCTGTTTTACCTGTGGTTTCTTTCACCATTTTTATATTCTTTGTTGTTTGTTCTGATCTTTTTCCTTTTGCCACTTTTCTGCTTTTTTAATACTTTGAATATTCTATTTGTGCTTTTAATCCTTTGTTTATATCACTTTTGCAGGTTAATGAGCTCTGGTGGATTAATACACCAAACAATCTATGAGATGATGATGAAGAGAAAGCAAGTATTTCAACCAGACAGATATTTTTTTAGCTGGGTAATATGGATTTACGGACACAAGGATTTATTTTAGAGATTAAAACAGATTATCAATAAAAAAATGTATCTAAAATAATATTTTAAAATTTTTGTGAACTACTTCCTAGTCTGCTCCCATGGTTAATCCCTGATCATAGCTAAGTCCTGATCAGTGGGTTCATTTATGAGCACGGATTTGATGCATTGGTTGCAAAAGAAGCATGGTTGTTTCCGGTAGCCATTGCAATAAATTCTGGAGGACCATAGGAAGAATCAGATGAGTCATGACTGGGATTTATTGAACAAAAGCCATAAAAACTGTCCCATTTTGACAGCAAGTGACAACAAAGGGTCCAAGACAAATATGAGGAAGGTGTTGCGGATAATGAATTGAAACGATGTTATAAATGGATGAGCCGGAAGCTGTGGATTGTGATTTTTGGTTCACAGGTAGGGTCTCCACTCATATATCATCGAAGAAGTAAGATTCCGTTTGGGTCCCACGCAATTTTGGTCAATAGATGAAACTTATTAAGATTGAACTAAGAAAACAAATTAAAAAGGAGTTTGATGATTATAGTTATCTTATGGGATAATGATAAAGTGATTTCAAAGGGCTATCCTACCCCCCGATGTGCCCATCTTGTCCATTTATAAAAGAAACTATACTACACAGGCTGCCTTTAGAAATCATGAATTTGGAAGCCTATTTATTACAACGACCGGAGTTTTTTCATTATAACTTACAGATGGGGAAAAATAGTGTCACCTCCATGGATCCCACATTGCGTCAAATCTCCTCCTCCTGAGTAAGATATGCTGTGAGCGATGTGTCGCCATTGTGAAATTGGGGACCGATTAATGGTAATGAGCAAGAGAGCCGGTACGTATATTAAATATGTTTGAAGTTAGAATCATAACATTTTAAATTGAGTAAATTAAGATTAGAAAAGTCATTCTCATATTAAAATTTATAATATTTAATTTGAATTAGTCGAATAATGAATCAAATCAATAATTATTAAGAAAAAACTATATAACTCGAGATACCTTCAAATCAAATCCACATCACATTCCGGTAGAACAATTTCTTGCATACACCAACGACGCAATATAAACGCTAAAAATCTTGAATGTGCAATGAATCAAGTCCCTATAGGAAGATGCTTGTGCTAAAAAACTGAACAAGATTGCAGAATAATAGACCCGGGCCTAAGCAACCAGGGCTGAATGCTTCATATCGACATATGTAGTTTGGGGCATGGCTCGGTGATCCATTTTTCAGAAATGCACAACCCAAGCCCGTCTTCTCCATTCTGACCCTGATTAGCCTATGTTCGATCCCCTTGTTTTTTTTCTGAAAAATATCTGGTCCATGCATATGTTAGTGAGTATAAGAAAATCATTTACTGATTTTGACATTGTGCCTAGTTTCCCCCTTCCACGCTTATATTAGAATTTAATCGTGTCGAGTTAAAAAATTTTGAGTTATTCGAGTTGAAAAATTGTATTTTGTAATTCCAACTTAACTTAAAAAAATTTAAGTCGAGTCGAGTTTAAGAAATTTGAGTTAAGTTATTTGAGTTTCTATAAATATTTCATTATAATTATCTATGTATTATAGTAAGAATTGATTTCAAATTTTTTATTTACACTATCCATATAAGATATATTTATTTATTCATTCATTCCTTTTAACATTATAATGTTATTTAATATATCAAATACAACTTAAAATTATAAAATATAATTACATTATTATATTTTAAAGAATATATTTTCAGAGTAAAGTATTAATGAGAGTATAAAAGAATCGAAGAACTGATGAGAATAAAAAATTTGCAAACAATTGCAGTTAAAAATATCAAATTGAGTAAAATGCAAAGTTAATGGACTAAAAAAAAGAGAATATATTTTTATTAAAATTAGGAATTGAAGTTATATAGGTATTTTATAGTAGTATAGGAGCATGTGGTTCAACTTTGATAAAAATAGACTTAAAATGAAGGGGGGAAATGAATAAATAATAAAAACATAAAAAGTTGAGGAATTAAATTGAAAAAATAAAATTATGTTATCAAAATGAGGAATTAAAAGCAATAGATATTCTCCCATGGTGTAGGAGTATTTGGTTTTAATTTGGTACAAAAATTCACTGAAAATGAAAGATGAATTAAAAGAATAAAGAAATCAATGACTAAATCATAAAATTATCAAAATAGTCAATCAAATTTTTAATTTTTAGAGTTCAAAATTTTAACTCGATTTGAAATCAAAATTAAAATTAAAATTAATATTTTGAATTAATTTTAATAATTTTATTTAAATCATTTAAAATTACAAAAAAAAAATCAAGTTAAGTAAAGTTTTGATCATTCCTGCCTAGAATGGTAGAGCATCACTCAAACTAGATAACCAGAAGTTTGTGTGGCTAAGCAAGTGAACATGGCAAGTTTCGTCCAACAAATTCAACTTATTACTCTCCCTCCGATATTTGATTAAATTTCATTTTCAAAGGAACAATAAGTCAAGCACTCAAATCAACCAGTAACAGTCATGGCCTTTCTCATTTATATTACCCCAGCAGACCAACTCTGATTTTCTGATTTTCAAAAGACAATCTCTGCAACCAAATATCCAGGCCGTCTATTTAAGAGCCAGCATATCATCAGATCTGGCGGCGTATCTCCTCCATGTCTTCTTTCACAGATATGTCTACTTTAATTCCACTGGTATATTAATTAACATGAAGAAAATTTTAAAAGTTTATTACTCTATTAAAAATATACGTAGTTATTGTTCTTATTATTACTGAGAGTTAATATTGTAATTAGTGAAGAATATTTTATTCAAATTTAAAGATTTTAATTTCATCTGATTTAATTGGTCATTTTATAAAAAAAAAACTTGGATTGAATTTCTTTAAAGAATGTGTTCACCTCTTGTTTGGAACTCGATATATTTTTAATTATTAATGATAATTATAAAATTAATTTTTATATTATTTTTTCAACTATGTCATTATTTTAATTAATAAAATGGCTATATATATTTATTTATTTGAATCGGACCGGATGTATATTTTCATTTGAAAATCGTATTATAATTTTGCATCAGATAAAACCCTCCTTAATGGGGATCGAATTTAATACAAAAGAAAAAATTATTTTTTAAATCAAATTTAAATAAATTAAAATTTTAATTTTCGATCTATAATCATATCTGGTCATAATTTGAATTTAAAAAAGTAGATAACCCATTTTCAATGAATATATATTATTAAATGAGGATAGTAGTAGCTGAGACTTGCAAGGGATAGGTATATACCCGACCATTTTCATCAACAGCAGCAAAATCCCCACATGAATTATTAGCTTTGGTTTATGAAGCTAGCTATCGTCCAATGCATCTAATCGGGTAAACAATTCTGCATAACGACTGGAATTAGATTGATGATGAGTGCATGCTTATACTGCAACCGCCGTCCATGAATGTCCTCTCAGACCCTCTAAGCTCTAGCCTCTATCTAATTGCCATCACATCCGTGGCATGGTCATGCTGTTTTTTCCATCAAGCCACACATGCAACCAAGCCACAGCTGAAAGAAGACAGGTAATGACACCACTCACATCTACATTCTGAAAAGGTTTCGGATTTTCAGAGATTGGTTGTATCAAAATAACCGTGAAAGAAATGAAAGAAGAGGCATGTAACCAATGCAAGGGAGAGTTAATTAGGTCGGTACCATAGAATTACAGGGCTAAGCTCTAAGCTCCCCCTCCACCTTTTCTGAATTCCATGACAGGCGTATGTGTTCCACTAGGAAACCTAGGGGGAATTTGGGGTTACGGTTTTTTTTTTCAATAAAGCACTGGAACCCGACAGAAAAATTTGATACTGGTCTCGTCGAAAAGATTTTCTACCTCCCCAAACAGTGCAACAGGACAAGTAGGTGTCGAGATTTACAACAATTAATCAAAGCTTCTGCATGTTTTACATCGTGTTTAAAGTTCGTGGGGTTTTGGCAGTGATAATTGCCACGCGTTGCACACGATCCAGTCGACCAGACGAGGAGATTTCGGGATGTTTATACACTAAAACAGTATTATTGTATGTAGAGCTTTTTTGTTTTTGCTTTTCTTAAGTGCGAACGTGATTTGGTAAAAGACTAGGGTTCGTGTAGACCTGTAGCGGCTGCCTGCACAGTTTTGGATCTCGGAAAGGAATGTGTGATTTCAGGGAGAGAGAGAGCCATAGAGTTTGTTTTTGATGTCTTTGTCAAGCCTAGGGTTAGACTTAGGGTTTTCACTTTCAATTTCCGTGGTTATGTTTTTTTATTGGGAAAATCTACATTTCAGTACCTAAGCTTAACCGGCTAAATTTGTGACTGTAATTTCTTTTTTTCAGTTAGCTATCTC